CCTGGTTCAATGCTATCCTTGTCCTAAGGATGTGTCTAAAAGGTGAATCAAGTCTGCAGATTGTACACACGCCCAATGATAAGTCAGCCTTGTCTCAAGGCCACCTGCTTGCCTCCCTGAGCTCTAGTTTCCCACCTTTAAGACAGGCATGTCACTAATAATGTATCATCACAGCACTGCTGTGGCAGGGGGTAAAGAGTTGACACAGGGACAGCTGCAGGACATGCCTGATCAAGAGCAGGCACCTAGTGACCATCACTGGAGTCCCCACGGTGGCCTGTCTGCCTTAGTGAAAACGGTGGCAGGCTACTTTACCAGGTCCTGCTGCTTCCCTTCTTTCCTGTCAGTCCCTGTGGCCTAAGTCACACGTCTGCCACAGCCTATCCATGCTTCACTCTCACATGAGGCTCCTTACGGACGAGAGCCGCTGAAGTGGCCCTATGGCCCTCCCCTGGGTATAGTGAGCCTGTGACTTTAAAAAAAAATTTTTTTTTTTGGTGGTATTAGAGTTTGAACTCAGGGCTTTGCACTTGCAAGGTAGGCAGTCTACCACTTGAGCCACACTTCCAGCTCTATTTTGGGAATAGGGTCTCACTTTTGCCCTGGTCTGCCTGGACAATGATCCTATTTTACTCTCTGGCCATAACTGGGATGATAGATATGTTGCTACCATGTTTAGTTTTTTTCTGTTGAAATGGGGTTTCACAAACTTATTATTATTTTTTTTTTACTGGGATTGGTCTGGAACCATGATCTTCCTGTCTCAGCCTCCCAATAGCTAGAGTTATAGGCATGAGCTACTGGTGCTCGTCTGGCTGGTGACTTCTGACCAGTGGAATACAGCAGGTGGCCAGCTGCCCATGATTCAGCACTGTGATGGCAACCAGCATGACAATGCCCACCTGAGTGCCTGGCTGGAACCTTCACCTCCCCTGCTGACCGAGTGAGGGAGTCCACACTGGGCTATGTGGAAGGACAGCAGGGTCTCTAGCAGCTTACACTGGCCCTGAGGCTTGGGGAACCCTGCATGGAGGACCTGTCCCCAGAAACTGTGATATCACTGTGCATTGTTCTAAGCCATTAAGCTTTGCCAACACTGTTCTGTTTTGCAGCAACAGACTATGATTATTCTCCCCAGTTCTCTTCACACTCCCAAGTTTCTATGGCCCATGCTGTGATGCTTGGGGGATTTTGTATTATTAAACAGTACAGGACATCTACCAGAGAGCAGCCCACAGTGTGTTCATTTGTGATCTCGAATTATGCTTTCTTTCAGCATAAGTCTTTATGTTTCAGCACATTTGCTTCCCAGGGCCTCTGAACTCTCCCATTCTCTAGAAGTCCCAGGTGGGCTGTGAGTTCTCCACACTTTATGGTTTCTTCCTGTGAGGCCAAGTGACTGAGGGGTTTCTTCATGTTCATGTCAACGGCCTAGGCTTAAGGTGTGGGTTTAAAGCAGAAACAAGAAAAAAGAATCCAAAGCACATATTGCAGCTTTGGCCACGTGAAGGTAACTCCCCCTTGTTCCCTGCGGTCTCAGGAAGTTAGTTACTGGCCTCTCACTGGTGGAAACCACAGGGGAGTCTTGCTGCGGAACACAAAGTTTGGCCTTGCTCTAGCATCTCCCATCTACCTCCCCTTACCTTGCTCTATTTTGAGCCTGTCATCTGAACTGTCCATTAAACCCAATCAGGAGGACATAGTCTAGCTGTGGGAGGAGGTGGAATGGAGGTGGAATGGAGGTGGCCCCACTCCTTCCCAGCACAGGGAGTGGGCATCTTCTCCCTCAGTTTAGGAGAAGGGATGTTCCTTGTGGTGACCCCCACATTAACAGGATTCCCTTCACTGAATACAACTGACTGTGCAGGTCCTGGGGCCTCTGCTGTGCAGTGGCCAGGGTGCTGCCAGTTGCCAGCTCTGCAGTCACTGCCACAGATCTCAATGCCTGGCAACTAGCTCTGCAAAATGGATGGGCAAGATTCACTCTAGATGAGGCAAGGAAACAGATTCCTGGCATGGTTGGGTGGGAGACAGTACTGAGCTGTGCAGGAGAGGATGCTCTGTGCTGCACCTCCTGATCTCTGGAAACCTGTTAAGATGGGGGCTGGGAGTATAGAGGGTCTATGTATGAGGTGTGAGGATTTCTCTCGTACAGGGAACTGGAGAAGGGCTGGAGGAGTGGCTCAAATAGTAGAGTGCATGCCTAGAAACTGTAGAGTACACTAGGGTGGCCCCTTCAGGATAAAGGTTCCCCTGTCCTGCTGCAGGCAGATGGATGTGGGCTGCCAGGACCCTTCCCAGGTGGCCTGTCCCTGGTAATGTGGATGAGGGGCAAGGGATGGCCCTCATCATTCGCCCACTTCAGAACTCCCAGGGCAGGCTGAGGTCAGCTGCTTAGACATTCCTCTGCCCAACCCCACCTGCTCACCCTGCTACCAGACCCAGGGCTGGCCTGCTCCCTAGTAGGCTCGTCTCCCAAGTAACCCAACCTGTAACATCTCGAATCCCTCTAAAAGGGGAAAAGGAGGGCATGAGGCCATAGCAGCGATTCAGGGTGCTGGGCCCTAAAGCCCAATCACTAAACACTTACAAGTCTTCAAGACAAGTGTTCACCCCAGGGTAGCCCCTGCAGTGGTTACCAGCTTATAGCCAGGAAAGAGGAAACATGAGGGGGCATTTGAGACAGCCGTTTCAAGAGCCCTGGGACCCCCACAGGACAGGAGGCTTTCTCTAGGCTTCCCTGGGTCCCATTTGTGGCTAATGTGTCATCTCATGGTTCTCCAGCACAATAAGTAAGTGCAAATGAAGATTTGCTCCAGGAAGCTCTCAGGCTTTCCTCCCAGGCTTTAGGCCAGAGTAGAAAAAGATGCCCACAGCAGGGAGGGCAGGGTTTGTGGGGTGCCTTTCTTAGGCCTGGACTTGTATTACTGCTCGGGCTCTGGCCTTTAATGCTCTGTTGAAAAGCAATACTATTTCTTTTTCTTTGTGTTTTAACTCTATGCAGCTGAGCATAACATACAGAAGGCATTTTTACACCCAGAGCAAGCATGTACTGAAGGGGAGAACGCTTCCAGGGGCTTGTTTCCGACAGACTGGGTGGAACAGGGATGGGGAGAGCTGAGTGCTCTTGCTCAGCAATGGCACTGCAGCATGTGGCTCTGGGCTCCTCACAATGACCTGGTCAGTCAGTGACCAGATGCAGCAGTGACCCTTACAGCTCTTTTTACTTCTTTCCCCTTCCCCGTTCATAAAAAACCTTTCTTTTCTTTTTTCTTTTTAAACAAAAAGCCTGTCTCAGAGGAAACAGACAGGACATAAAGCATTGCTTTTCTTAGGGAGTAAGGCTGTTTTATGCTTGGGTTCTACTCCAAAAACGTTTAACGTTACAGAGGCCTCTCAAATACCTCGCTCTCCTTCAGCCCTGTTGCCAGGACATAAAGGAAAGTCTATCTGCTGAGGGTGCCCTCTTCACAAGGCAGTTATGGCCCAGGTGGCTCCACGGTGGCCCACAGTCCCCTCAGTTTCCTCGTTTCTCCACATCAGCAGCCTCCATTCCACCTATCATCCCTTTAGAAGGATGCAGCTATATGTTTGCTATTTACAGCCACATGAGTGCTGGGCACAGTGCATTTTGGTTTATCTCATGTAAATAAGAATATTGGTTTCTACCTGTTCTTGAGTGAGTTTACCAACTTGCTTTGCTAGGTTTCCAGTGTTGGGTGAAAGTTATCATACATATATATAAACAAATATCACTAGCCAAAATAACCTGACTGTGAAAATACATCATAAGTTTTTTGGTTTTTTTTTTTTTTTTTTTTTTTTTGGTGGCACTGGGATTTTGAACTCAAGGCCTCAGGCTTACTAGGCAGGCACTCCACCACCACGCCACTCAGCCAGCCCTTTTCTGTTTTGGGTGTTCTTGAGATATGGTTTGGTTCCCTACCCCCATCTCCAAGCTGGCCTTGAGTCTCAATCCTCCTAATTTCTGCCTCCTGAGAAGTTAAGATTACAGAAGTGAGCCACTAGCTCCTGGCATATGAGGATTTTTAAGGCTAAACACAGGCTTTTCCTACTGTTGGATGACGACATCTTTGCTAACTATAACACTCTGGAATTTGCCCAAATTCCACTTGTGTTAGGAAAGTGCTAAGATTAGAATCTGGAATGTCCCTCAGAAGTCCAATATGGGTATTACTGGGAGCCAGTGGAAGCTCTGGAGGTAGGGCTTAGTGGGAGGAAATTAGGCCATTGGGTCTGTACCCTAGAAGGGACACTAGGACCCCAGCTACTCCTTTCCTTTCATTTACCAACTGCTATGAGGTGAGCAGTCTGTTTCACCATGTACTCCCACTACATAGTGCTGTCTTGCCACATGTCCAAAGGCAGGGGCCAAAAGACCACGGAGTCAAATCTTTGAAACCATGAGCCAAAGTAAACCTTTCCTCCTTATAAGCTCATTATCTCAGATATTTTGTTATACCAAAGGAAAACTGACAGACATCAACAGAACAGGAAGAAACTACGTTTTTAGATATGTCTAGACTAAGACCAAATTAGGTTATTATTGTTATGAGTTTTACAGTATTAATAGCAGTAGCAATGGGAGAAAGTTACAATCAACAGTGAGAAAAGGTGACACTACATATGTGTTAAATAAGCATGCAAAGTAACTGGTCATGCACCCAATGGTTTTATCTTGGAATAATCCTGGATGTACCTCATAAATTCAGGGGACAATTTCTTTCTCAATACAAGTCTTTACAAGACCAGAAGCCTTGTGCCTGGTTCCTCTGAGCCAAGGAACTATGGAACCTGAGGCTGCTCGCCCCACCCATCTAAAAGGCTCCGGGTGACTCCTCACTGAAGGAGACCCAGCTTTCTGTTTGTAGATCCCTGAGGCCATATTTATCTCTGATGTCAGTCTGACGCCAAACCTCCCACTGTGCTGTATACTTTCCTGCCCACCCCAGCAGCACCCTCTAGCTGGAGACACTTACCACATGGCATGCATGTAAGTTGGCGGGAGGCGGGGGCTGCTCACAGGGGTACAGTTATATGACCTCATGATCCTTTCTGCCAATAAAAAATTTCGAAACAAACTTGCCACCAGCAGGTCCTGTCTGAAGAGCTTTTGGAAGAGATCTGAAGGGAGATAAAAGATTAAAAGATATCTTCAGTGATTCATGCCTAGAATTTAAAGCTATATACACAAATTTACTTTCATCAAAAATTACAAACAAGTTGACGCTAACACATTTCCCATTAGCAGTACATATACATATGTAAGCATATATATACATGCACAAGCATGCCAATACACATGCATGTATGCAAATACATACATACACGCAAGCATTTATATGAGCAAACACCAGAATCCAATCAACCAATAAACAATAATTACAAGCAAGTTTTATAGTAGTAGCAGTTCTGGTTTCAACAAATAAGAACAGTGCCAAGGGTTATGCAGAAAGCTATACCCTATTCTGGCTACCCCAGGTCTAAGTGCCCAACACTTATCTCCCCCTGGGAGAACCTCAGGTTCTCGCCTTCTTTTTATTCTCCCTCCCTGTGAATTCTCCTCAGTAGATGAGAATGCATGGATCCTATTGACTTCTCTTATACCCACGGCTGGCATTCATTGGCATGGGGGGTAGGGGGAGAGACACACACACCCTCCCTAGCACCAGGCCAGGCAGCCTCACCCCGGGGAAGCACATTCCATGCAATAGTGTCTGTGATGGCTGTGAAGATCCAGTTCAGCTCGCCCAAGGGAGTCCTCCTGTCATTCAGCCGGCCAGGAATCCTACAATATATGTACATTTTCATTAGTGCTGCCACGGCTATTACAATGTAATGGAGACAGGAGATGTGAGAACAAAGGAAGTGAGGGAAAGGAAAAACTTAAGACCAGAGAGAGGACAGGCTGCACTTTTAGCTGCGAAGGTTTCCTTGACTCCCCTGTGATTTGCAGAGCTCCTACAAATCTCCTGCCCAAGGAGAATGTGAATTTACACAGGTTCAGATCTCAGCAGGTCCACCTCCACCTTCTACTTTCTCCCCCTTCAATCTACACACGAACAGTTTCTTTAGTGTCCTTGGGTGTATGGACCAAATCTAGTTGGTGACTCAGTTTCCCAGTTCTGCATCTACAGCCCAGGCCATGGAATTGCTTTCATGGGGCTACCACATTCCATAATCCTCCATCACAGCCCCACCCTGGGTTCCCCCTCTGTAGAAGTGCACTGTCAGTCTGAGAGTCAAGAAAGGAAGTACTGCCCTACAAAGTCCACTTGTCCTCAAGTCATTCAACAAATACTTCTGAGGGCCTATAATAGGGCTGGACACAGGGAGATGGCAATTCACCAAGTCTCTGCTCCCAGGGAGCTTACAGTCTCCTGGAAAGGACAAGTACACATGTGACAACTCAAGTGGTGCAAGCACTGCAGAGCTGCATGGTGCAGGCCATGGAAAAGAGGGGACCAGGATGCTGCCACCATAGAAAGGGAGGTGATGGAAGGCTGCGCTGAGCACTCATCCTGGAGCAGAGACCTGAATCCTAAGAGTTGGTGTGGCACATGGTATCTGCAGGAGGACTATGTCCAGCGGAGGTGACAGCAAGAGCAAAAGCTGCACCCTGAGGTGCGGGCTTATTTCTGTCTGCTCTACAGAAAGTGTAATTTTATTCACTAGGTAGCAAGTTTAATTATATCTGACTGGAATTTTTTTTTTCCTCCCAGAAGAAAAATGTTCACAACAATTCGGTTTGGGGACTAGAGTGTGATTCCTGCTATTTATAAGATTGAACAGATTAATAATTCCCATTATAGTCATCCATTTGATGGCACTGTCTGTATGAATAATACTCAGAAACAGAGTCGAGTGGGGCCAAGCTGGCTTCTGAACATGATCCTGCCACACGTGCTCATTTCTTCCACTAAATGCCTTTTTTTGGCTTAGGAACAAAAATACTTCCCATGTCCTCAAGGAGGCTCAGTAATGGGACAAGAAAAATGAGAGGAAAACTGGCCAGTCTGAAAAATAAAGCTTTCCAAGTACAAGAAAACATGTCTACATCCACAGGGGGCTCCAGTTTACCATTGAGCAGGCTTTGCACTGAGTGCCGGTACAAGTCACATGATGCACAATGCAAAAGCAATTCCAACTGTGGGGATCGTTAAGGACCCCACCACTAAAGAGAAAGCAAGTCTTGAGGTTAACTCTCACACAAGATGATGGAGAATGTTGAGTTTTCTCACCTTGAACAATGGTTTCCTTTTCTCCAACTGTTCTCACTTCAGTGTAGAGAGCACCATATCCAGGCTACCCACCATCACCCTCCATATAAGACAGCAAGGGGCACGGAAGCACAGGAAGGCAGAGATGCCTGCTCTCCAGCAAACTGCCACCACTCTTTGAGGGCAGGGTGCACCTCCCAAAGAGAAGACATTTCTTCACGACTACAAACAAACAGCCCAGGAAGGCATTCTACCAGAGCTCTTACGGTGGCCCCAGGTGCCAGTGCATACCCAGGGTCAGCGTCTGGAAGGAACACATTGCTGGGAAATGTACAGGAAGGGGTATGGAGTAGCTCAGGACTGACATGGAACCCTGAGAAATTAGCTCATGGCTTGGGTCTGCAGATGAAAAATGTGCTGAAAACCTTCTTAACAAAATGACTGGCTAGATTGTCAATGAAAATGTTTGGCAAAAACGGTGAACCTTTCTTACCTAATGACCCCACTGAATGAGCTGCCGCCCCTTCATTAAAATAGTGTGGATGAAAATTATTGGCCTAGGATCAACCAATACACAAATGTCACAGTGTGCAAGGAGCAACGGTCAGAAACTTGTTCTTCTTGAGTGTCCTGTCACAGGCTCCCTTCTGTCAATATGCTCAGAGCTCCTGAAGACCGTCCTCACTACTGATGTGAAGTGCAAGTATGGCGGGTCCCCCAAACATCTGCACTCCCAATAACTCACCAGAAGGACTCCCCGGAAGTAACCCTCATGGTTACTGTTTATTGCAGAGAAAGAGGTGAGACCAGTCAAGAAAAGAGACCACAGAGCAGGGTCCAGGAAAGTGTCAAACACAGAGCTCTGTGTCCTCTCTCTGTGAGTCTGCTGCCTCCCACGATTGCTAAGACAACATGCATGGAGCACTGGCAACCAGGAGGGTTACCTGAGCCTCAGCAACAGTCTACCAGGCCTCCACAACAAAGGTACAGCTAATTGACGGCCAATGACTGATCTCAGCTTCCAGTTTGGCGACACTGTCTGACCACCCTAAACCATGGGCTGGTCCTCCTCATGTGGAGAGCCCCATCTTAGGATACTGGATCTTATAGAAAGACACCACTGTTTATGACTTTGCAGAAACTGGGGGTAAAGGCCAGACTTCTCTTTGGTCATGGTCAGATTCTTCACCACACACAGCAGCCTGCTTAGTACTAAAAGCAACCTCTTCCAGCAGAGATCTTAGACCTTTGACCTACACACAAGTCCTGGGTACAGGCTGGCAGGGCCAGGAGAGCTCCCACTGGACAAGGAAATCTGGAGGTAAGTGACGGCTAAGTGTTTAGAGCGTGCAGTTTTTCCAACAAGGAATTTAAATGGGAACCAGTCTACTCCAACCCAGAAACCTAGGACAGGAACACAGAGTACACCATGACACACAGTGCCACTTCGTCATAGTCATGAAAAGCTAGGAACAGGCTGCACAACCTGTAAAAAGAAATGGCTGAGTGAATTATGGAAATGGCTACAAGCTGTTAACTAGTTGTTTATGAACATTTCAATGCTTCCTAACAATAAGCAAAGAAAAGTCAGACACAGTGTGGCTAGGATTCCATAGTGTAAGAAGAGCAACAGAAGAACTTAAAGTGTGACAGAGGAGGTGCTCTGCCTATCTCTGTATTTGTATGGAGTCCATGTTTACCATGAGACGTGCCCCACTCAAACCATGGGTTCGAGACTACTGTTCCCTTGCTGCATTCCCTCAGCCCTAGAGGAGCTAGGGAGGTAAGCCAAGAGGCCCACACCCTGAGTCTGGGTCCAGCCCAGTGGGAAGCTGGTGGATGACAGGCGAATGAATATTCTTGGGGGAAGTGCAGCATACATCAGAAGTGAAGACCATCACACTATATATATAGTCTACTTTGAACCTGGACAAAGAGTTGCTGACGTGAGCCCACACACCTTGGATCAAGAGCTGCTGATAGTCTAAGCTGCTTTCCCAGCCTGAACTCTGGTGAACAGGGCAGTGAGGTGCTGCCCACAAGATTCCCCACTCTAGGACTGTCACTGGGTGGTCTTGCCATACAGAACAGAGGCTGGATTAGGATCTGGGTGTACTCAGTTGTGTTTTTAAAAAACTCTTATTGTGTGACACTCACCTGTAAATAATACAAAACCTGAGTCTCACACAATGTCTTGACAAGTCTACCCATCTCTTTCCCGAGCTCGTCATGAAAGCACAGGAAAGACATCTGTCTGAAAATCACTTACATCGATTGAATGACAAAACAATTAATTGAGCGGCCAACTATTCAATGAGTGAGTACCAATGCAGCTTTTCCACTCTTTCATAGGTGGGTCCTTCTTGGGAGGACAAAGGTGGCAGTGAGCCACTTCCCTCACTCTTCTTGTCACTTAGAATGAAGTCACTTCAGACACAGTTTCAGTTTCCCTTTCAGTATCTGATTGAGAAGGCTGTCAGGTCTGGTTCCCTGGAAGGAACCTCCCACCATACTGCAGGACCTGGAAAGACTGGGCAGTGGGAATGGCTTATGTAAGACTACATTTCACTCAAAAAGCTTCTCTGCCCTCCCATCCCCCAGGGATTTCACTAACAATTGAGATAACTCTTAAAACTTAAGCTGGCAGTGTCAATCAAGGATGAATTTTTATGTGGAAAGTGTAAAAGCTGTGGTGTAGGAACAGATCACTGGGTTGAGAGATAGGAAAAGCTGACTCTAGTCCCAGCTGTGCTGTGCCTGGGCAACTTCTGCCTCCTGTCTCTGCTGAGTCATGAAGGCTAACCTTATGTGCACCACAGGATTAAAATAAAATGGGTCGCACCTCCACAGCAGACGAAGCAGCTAGCCAGCAGCGGATCCTTGGCAGAGGCCTACCGCCTCCTCAGACTCTCTTTCATGCTGTTGCACAAGGGTCCCCCCACCCCACATCAGGCTCCCCTATGGCTTCACATCTGCTGCCAGGACTCACTTTCCTTGACTTCAACACTCAGGTCACCACTGGCAATCCCCCATGCTGCTATAGTGACTGCTCTTCAGCATCAATGTCCCTGTGTATGTGGTGGCCTCAGAGAACAGGACCTGCTCTGGAATGGCCAGCTGGCACTTTTCCTCTTGGACTACCTTCTTCCTCCTCAACACTCCCATTTCTGTAGTCATTCAGCAACATGGCACCGACCCTCTGGCCCCCTCCCACTCCCTACTGAGGGACATTTAATAAGCATCTCTTTAATGCCTGCATGTCTGGCCTCCCAATTCCTTAGTGGTGTCTCCTGGTCCTACAGGCTTCCTACCAACCTGGATCCTACCACCTGCCTTCATGGTCTGCTCCCCACACAGACTGCGCAGATGTGCAGTGTGAAGCTACACCGTCCAGTTGGGCCCTGTTCTTCACTTGCTAACTTGCCAGTCCCCAGGTAGCTATCAATCACTTCCTAGACCCCTTAGGTTCCTAGGCTTATGTTGGAGCTCTACCCTGAATTCTCAGCACACCCCATCAGCTCCTGCTATATTGGCATCTGTGGCCCCCAGATCACCCTTCAGTTTCCAG